TGCGAGCATACACTTCTTCCCAGAAAAGGACGGGGAAGAAAGTATACAGATAGTAGCTTGGAGGGGACTTTGAAACAATGAAAGATGCGTAGAGCCCCACGAGGACAGAGGAGAAGAAGAAGAAGCCCAGAAGATTGCGCTGGGATGGGACACTGTGCTGAAGCACATACAGACTCAGGACAGTTGTAAGAGCGTAGGCGATCCAGCCGAGGTAGCCAATAGTGATAAGAGCACGCAAAAATAGCCAATCATATGTTTGGAGGTAACGGAGACCTTGAAGTCCAATGGTGATCAGGGCGTCCGACTCTTCAATGGCCTCTTCGTACTGTCCAGCTTCAATTAGAGCGCTGATACGGCTGATGCGCTCCTCTGGACTGAGGTTCTCCTCACTGAGAGGTCCGTAAGGTCGGTAGCGGAGTTCTGTTGCACTCTTCTTCTCCTCCTTTACTCGATACTGCTCAAGGATCACCTGGGCGTTGACAAGGGATGCTTCAGCCTTCTCCTTGGGGCTCGCTGAAAGGAACTCCAAAGGAAGTTCTCCAACACCGTTAGCCGGAAATTCGGCGCCAATTAGGTATGCCATGAGAGCGGCGACATCTGCTTGAGCAACATCATGCCTGCGTACATGATCCAGACCCCAGTCGGCCGAGTACTCGTCGTGTCCAGGGGCGACCGAGTTGGGGTACAATTCGGGAGGCGCAACGCCCGATCCCCAGGAGATGAGAGGAGTCCTAGTGTTGTCGGGGTGTCCGTCGCCGTGGCTGCCCCAGTCAGTCATGCCATGGTCAGCCGTGAAGACGAAGGCAGTGCGGTCGTCGGCATAGAAGTTCTGGATGAGCTCGGTAATCTCCTTGACACCCTGATCCACCACCTTCAAGTTGTTGAGGTATTCCTTAGAGTAAGGTCGAAAACCGTGCCCGCTGGTGTCGAGTCCAAGCAGATGAAGGAAGAAAACCAACTTGTCTTCACGAAGCGCAGCATTGAGGGTTTCGTTCTTGGCGGCTTCGGCAAAGAAGTCCTTGACATGATTAAATACCCAGTAATCGAGTTCCGTAGCATCCATGGAGAAGTCCTCAAAGTCGGGTGGATACCAGGCGGCGTCGACTCTGCCTGGAACAGCACCATAATGAAACATGGGCAAGATATCAGGGCTGCCCCAGCTCCAAGTATGGCGACTGCGGTTGAAGACACTGTCAAAGTTGACAGGGTTCATCTTCCACCCAGTTGCGACAGCAGAGACATCCTCGTATAATCCAGCGATCAGAGCGACATGGCCTGGGCGAGATTCAGTCGGGACACGAGTGTGGGAAACACCGAAGGTTCCATGCTCGAGGACTCGCGAACGCAGGAAGGGAGCGAGATGACGGGGGGTAAGATCTTCTTCGGACTCGGGGTATGGCTCGGGGTGCTGTTGGAAGGCTTTGTCGGCGCGTAGTCCGTCACCTGGAGAAGTAGTTGCGATTAGCGAAGGTTAACAACTCGAGTTTGAGCCGCGGTGCTTTACCAACGAAGAGGACGAGCCGGTCAGCAGGAGCCTTGACATCTTCAGGACGCTCAACCTTGAAGTGTCGCATGCCCGAAACGATCGGGCTGACAAAGTAGACATCGAAGATTGAGAAAATATACACGACATGAAAAACGACGGCAATGGCCATGAAGCCAAAGCGGTTAAAGCCAGCCATGGCGAGGGGCTTGAAAGCGTCAGGATCCGCAGGTGTAAGTCAGTGGATGATCAAGGAAGGAACTTTTTGAAGTTAAACCGAGAAGAACGAGCCCATGACGCAACAAACAACTGCGATATGAAGGAAGGGCAAAGACCAAAATATCAACAAAACAAAACACCTTGTTGAACTCAAGGCAGATGCAAAGAATGCCTCGTATCCTCTCAATGGCGACGCGAAGGACGAAATGAAATACCGTGGCCAGTAGGGATGAGACGGCTGATGATGGACGCGAGGGTGGACATCGCGTTCTGGGGCTCACACTTGCAGGTGACGAATTGGAAGTGCCTGTCTTTGAGCCAGGGACCCCCGTGTCACTCCAGTTCCCCTGCGCTAGCGGGCCTGTTTAAATCCGGTTGGCTGCGCAAAAGCTTCGCTCAAATGTTTGACGTCGAAACAGCCACACTTGATGGCGGGGAGCTGACCTTGACAGCCATTCAGCCTGCACGTGTCTCTGGCGTAGGGACCTCCCTGAACCTTGAAGACATTGTGTGAAGCAAGCAAGTGCCCAATCCCTATCAACAAGCGAGTCTTTTAGATTGAAGCTATTTTCTCGCATCTCACCATGCAGCGCCACACGGGTTATGCTTATTCACAAGCACCTTGAAGGATCGACCGCTTCACAACCTTGATGAACAAACCACTTTCGAGCCATGGCACATACAGTCACCAACAAGGTTCTCACGATAGCCAGCCTCTTTCTGAATTTAGGTAATTCGACGATTGCGAACCTAGAGCTATCCAGCTGGGGTTCGACTGACAGATGTATATCTTCAACGTAAGTATGGCATCCCGGGGTATCACTAACAACCAATAATCCTGCCACAAGAACCACCATTACCACTCCTCGTCACTTATTCAATTCGCTCAGTCAGAGACTTGACTACTCTTGCATAGAATCGAGAAGCCTGAGGCCGTGGGAAGGTAATCTCCTCGACGAGATAATCCGGTAGCATATCCATTAATTCCCCATCACGGTTAGAATCGAGCTGTGGTCGGTAGGTAAACTGCGTATCCTCGTAACTGTCTGACGCCTCAGTAGTTTCGACTGCCAACTTGAAGTGAAGGGCTACACATTGAGTCAGTAATGATCAAACAACCCAATCCGTAACGAAACTTACAGCCATTGCGTCCAGTCTGGATGCAGTCAAAAACATCTTCCATCTCTTCCTGTCTCACCCCACGGATAATCAAGTCTGTCAAGTCCGCGTAGAGATCTTCCTTGGCTTGCGCGGTGGCTTGCGTAGCATGTGCCGCTTCGGCCTGTGCTGTGCGGCTTGCCAACCCGCCCGTCTTCATAGCGCTTCCTGGAACCCTGGAGTTTACATCCCCTGACCTGACAGCGGCTAGTTTCGTAGAGAGTGTTTTGATTTCCGACTTGGCTTCTGACAAAGAACCATTCAGTTCCTCTATGGTAGCCTCTAAATCATCAGCTTTTGCTTCACTCTCTTCCAGTTGCTGCCGTAGTTGCTCGCCTTCCTTGGCAAGCGCAGTCTGTGCAGCAAGTTCAGCCTTGAGTTCGGCAATCAATTGATTTGCGGCTGTCAAGGTTAGCATTACGATGTTGATAGCAAGTAAGTGGGAGACTTACCTGCGGTTCTTTCTTCAGCTTGCTTCTTGAGCCGCTCAAAATTGCGCTCGGCCTCTTTCACTCCGACCTCGCGTAGATCACGGTGACGCATATCAAGATTCTCGTACTTCTTCGAGAGCTCCCCAAGTCGCCTACGCAATGACACTTCGCTTCCATCATATCCTGTCCACGATTCGAGTGGCTCAGCAACCGGCGCCACGTCTCCATTAATATCTTCCTCCTCCTCTTCTACCACGACGTCCAACTCCATTGCATCTTCTTGTTGTGTTTCTGGGATTTCCTCTGGAGGCTTCACTACTTGTCGGGGCGGTCGGCCTCGTCGTTTTGCTGCGCTTGGCGGAACTAGCACTGACGTATCGTTGTTGGCATTTTTCGAAGCTGAGGCAGGTACGCTTCTAGGTCGACCGCGTGTCCCTTTTTTCGTGACTGTTGACATTACACTTGGGAGCGCCTCGATATCATCGAATGTGACAGTCTCATCTGGGACGTGTTGTTGGGCTTTGCGCCCCGCTCCCGCCGTGCCAGAATTGGTCTTGGTCGTTGTACTCGGTCGTGTCACTGACTCGGGAACCGCTGACAGGATGCCGCTTCCTCGGCGCGTAGATGAGGCCGTGGTCTTTGTCACCTTGTTCGCAGTGCGTGGAGGTCGGCCGCGGGGTTTCTTCGTGACACTCATTGTGCGCGCAGCTTGAATCTCAGCCTCGTCAAAAGCATCCAAGTCGGGCTCCGAGTCAGATCCCACCAGGCCAGCAAGGGCCGATGCGGGCTTTGCGCGTGCGCGTGGTGGCATCGAGTATGTAGTGATTGTCGATACTAAGTGATCCAGAGGTGTCGCAAAAGGCGGCGCAAGCTAAAAGCGAAGGCAAATTTGTTAAATGATATGTCTGAGGTTTATTGCGACCCTAAGCTTCGACTATTCGGCGTGCGCGGGTGCAATCCCAAGGTATGAAGGCCTTTGTCGTGGGGATATGTATGATGATTGTTTTTCCTGGCCTTTGAGGAACCCGCCGGGTTTCCATCCATGTAAACAATCGGTCCATCAGTGTTGGCGGCAAGCGACATGGACGTGGCCGGTGCCTCGCTTTTAGCGCCAGCCGCTCTGAAGTACTGTACAAGCATCTTAGCGTGACAGAAAGATACGATCACTACCATCTAAAACCGCTTTCACGGTGATAAGCCATAAAACAACAGCAATGGAGCGGGAAATTTAGATTAAAATGTCTAGAGTGGTCTTAAATCGTATAGTGCTATGATATCCTCTATTAAGCTCCTTTGCCAATGCTGTATGCATTCAATGAGCCCGATAACTTTGCATTGATTCTGCATGGTCGTTGTAATCTTATTTTCAGCCAACCACCAAGTATCTGGGGCAGGTACCTAAACCTTTTCCCTCCCGCCGCTGATCGCTTTAAATGCATGTGCCAGGCTATTCTTGCCGCGACGCGCATATCAGTCTTTCGTTGTCCGAACGGCTCTTGATCTCTTCCGCCTCCATCAACGAATACGCTTTTGGCGCCCCGACGTCGGCCAGACTCTTTGCTAGAAGAAACACCGAGATAAACCGTACCGAAATAGATCGATGACAATCGATAGCTGACAATCGACGATCGAAATCCTCCTCAATCCCCTCCGTTTCTTGCCATCTCATGCCATCCGAGTCAGCCACCTGGCTGCGCTGGGTCCTCGGCATGGGGGAGCGACGCAAGCTCGGCGATGTCGCCATGGACATTTTGCTATTTGCTGGCATGGTGAGTAGATACTCGTCAACCTGCTCTGGCCATACAGTAGCCCTCATACTGATCCCCTTGACTAGATGACCGCTGGCCTGTACGTCGCCCGAAACTTTCTTAACCCAATCCTCAGCAACCTCGCCGATCCCGACAAGGAGAAGCACGAACAAGCTAGGCGCCAAGCGAAGGCACATCTGGAGCGGTTAAACCGACAAAAACGAGATGGAAGCGAATTTGAAGACGAGAGCAGCGATTCGTTACGAGGGCCGGACCTTGTTCTGAATGAATATGAGAACCTGGTTGCGCTTGAGATGGTTCCGCCTCAGGACCTCTCTGTTGGATTCGATGGTGAGAGAATCAGAAGGACGAGACGGTATTTCATGTCTTGCTAACGCCCGCAGATATTGGTGGATTGGATACCATCATCGAGGAACTCAAGGAATCAGTCATCTATCCCTTGACGATGCCTCATCTTTATTCACACGCTGCGCCACTGCTTTCTGCCCCCTCGGGTGTGCTGCTGTACGGTCCGCCTGGATGTGGAAAGACAATGCTGGCCAAGGCCGTCGCCCATGAGAGCGGCGCGTCTTTTATCAATCTGCATATCTCGACTCTGACCGAGAAGTGGTATGGAGATTCAAATAAGATTGTACGAGCTGTCTTCTCTCTTGCCCGCAAGATGCAGCCCGCTATCATTTTCATTGATGAAATTGATGCGGTGCTCGGAACCCGAAGGAGCGGCGAGCATGAGGCCAGCGGCATGGTGAAAGCAGAGTAAGTCCTCTATCTTTGGCATTGAGCGTTTGCTAACTCTCAACAGATTCATGACCCTTTGGGATGGACTGACGTCTGCAAACTCATCGGGAATGCCCGCTCGCATCATGGTTCTCGGAGCCACAAACCGCATTAACGACATCGATGAGGCTATCCTCCGTCGAATGCCAAAGAAGTTCCCTGTCACATTGCCCGGCACTGCGCAGCGACGACGGATCCTGCAGCTTATCTTGCAGGACACCAAGACAGACCCCGAAAACTTTAGCCTGGATTATATCGCAAATGTCACTGCTGGACTTTCGGGAAGTGACATTAAGGAGGCTTGTCGAGATGCCGCCATGGTGCCTGTGCGGGAGTATATGCGACAGCACCGACAGAGCGGCCAGGCAATGTCGACCGTTGACCCGACGCAGTTCCGGGGCATCAGGTCGGACGACTTCCTGGGCCGTGAGGGAGGTCAGATCAAGTTGCAACCGACCCGACGACCTGCCAGGACGGGGGTTGAGGAGCTTATTCCGGAGGAGCAGGATTAGCAAAGCAAATACTGACGGGAACCGATAAACTTGAATAGAGACACCGAACCCCGGCCATCACATCACCTCTCGCTGCCCAATCAGCAACACTACGATTTCTGTTTCTGGGCTATCGGTGACCTCACGGTACTCTTTGCACTGTCTGGTCGCTTCCCCACAACCCGCACTTTTCGAATGTCTGGCCAGGGACGCGGGCCAAGAAACGAACGAGATCAATACCCAAGGAGCAACGTATGCTCTAACTCCTCTCAAATACTACTCCCTTATGACATAATAGTCCATATAAGATACTAAAGACACATGAGTTGCTAAATGACAATGCTGCAGGGCTCTTTTATGATAACTCATACTTTTTGGGCCAGATAACCTGATACCTCGAAATTGGTTTCTAGGTAACTGGAACAAGGTGAAGTCGGGGCACGGTTCCTTACTCCGGTTCTCCGTACAGTGCACTCCATACGCAAGGGACGGCATTGCAGACGATGGGCCATGATGGTGTCTGATCACGTCATTTGGCATACCCCACCATCTCTTTCCGGGGTTGCGATAGCCGGGTACATGACAATGGTGGTCTGATACGGCGTAAGCACAGGTACCCGGGCATCAACCGACCTCCGTAAATCGGGCGGGTGACCCAGAGGAATGGCGGTGGGCGGCAGGCGGCTCACCTAGACCGCTGGGCTGGGCTGAAACAGCGCTGCATGCCCTGAAGGATGCTGCGATTCTCCCCTGCGAAGGCGCTGCAGACGCCCTGCAAACTGCGCTGTGCTGCACTGCAGGGGCGGCGGGCTGCATCCAATTGCCCCAGAAAAAAAATAGAACGACTTCCATTCAGACCGCCGAGGAGCGGCATGACTCCGACTCCCGAACTCCCGTCTCTCCCAACCGCTGACTCGTTACCAATATTCTTCTCCTCACCTGAAAGCTGAAATTCAATTCTTTCTTCTTCAACTATCCCTCAATCTAGCTGAATCAGGTCTTTCCTGTCGCATCTTTTGGCGCAGTCCAATTGCTAATTGGCGTCTTTACCCCTCCTTCGCCCTTCTCCCCACTATCGCCTCTCATCTATACAGCCTCAGAGTTGTGCGACGTCTCGCACTGAACCCGGCAGTTCAACCAATTTCCATCCGCCTCGACCGAAAATGTCCGCTCCATCTCCAAACGAGCCCGCAAAGTCGAGCAACCCGCTCAAGCGAGTTGACAACGAAGGCCACGACTTGCCTCCCTCCCCCGCGCCCTCGAGCCCCCGCAACGGTCGTCGGCGCTACGCCCTTGCCACGGAACTCGTCTATACTGATAGCAAGGACCAGTATGGCGCCTCCAGCGTCCCTATCTACCAGTCTGCCACCTTTAAGCAGAGCTCTGCCAATGGCGGCCAGCAGGAATACGACTATACGCGCTCCGGAAACCCTACTCGCACTCACCTCGAGCGACACCTAGCCAAGATTATGAACGCCTCTCGGGCTCTCGCCATCAGCTCCGGCATGGGCGCTCTCGATGTTATTACCCGCCTGCTTCGTCCTGGAGACGAGGTCATTACCGGCGACGATCTTTATGGTGGCAGCCACCGTCTTCTCACTTACTTGGCTGCCAACCAGGGCATTATTGTTCACCACGTCGACACCACCACCGTTGATAGCGTGCGAGCACGCATTTCAGAGAAGACCGCCATGGTTCTGCTCGAGACCCCTACCAACCCCCTGATCAAAGTTGTCGATATCCCGTCCATTGCCCGTTTGGCTCACGAGGTCAACCCCAAGGCCCTGGTCGTTGTCGATAACACCATGCTCTCGCCTATGCTCTTCAACCCCCTCGACGTTGGCGCCGACATTGTCTACGAGTCCGGAACCAAGTACCTGTCGGGCCATCACGACATCATGGCTGGCGTGATTGCCATGAATGACACCCAGATCGGGGATAAGCTTTTCTTCGTCATTAACTCGACTGGCTGCGGTCTGTCACCCAATGATTCGTTCCTCCTCATGCGGGGCGTCAAGACTCTGGCTATTCGAATGGAGAAGCAGCAATCCAACGCTCAAGCCATTGCCGAGTTCCTCGAGTCTCGTGGATTCCGAGTCCGATACCCTGGCCTCAAGTCTCACCCCCAGTATGACCTGCATTGGTCTATGGCCCGCGGTGCTGGTGCTGTTCTCTCTTTTGAGACTGGTGATCCCGCTGTTTCGGAGCGCATCGTGGAAGCTGCCCGACTCTGGGCCATCAGCGTCAGCTTTGGCTGTGTCAACAGCTTGATCAGCATGCCTTGCCAGATGAGCCATGCCAGTATCGATGCCAAGACACGAGCAGAGCGACAGATGCCGGAGGATATTATCCGACTGTGCGTCGGAATTGAGGATGTTAACGATCTTATTGAGGACCTTTCCCGCGCTGTAAGTTTTCCTTTCTCAACAACACTGTGAACAAGACGTTGACTAGCCATAGCTCGTCCAAGCCGGCGCTGTGACTGTGACTATGGATGGTTTCCACGCAGCCGGAGCTGCCAAGGAGCTGGGAGAGACTCCCCTCACCATTCGATGAGGCATGTGTGGATTTCCATATTGAAACTATGAAGAAAGTACTTGAGTCCCGGCCATTGGGGCCGTGAGGGAACGTTTTGATTTCTGCAAGCGAGTCCGATAGTTCTACTGAACGCCATTTCTGCAATGAACCCTGCCACGAGTGCGCCAAGAGGGGGAATGACAAAGAAGGGGTGACCATGGCATACCGCCTCACTGGCGAGATTATGAAAAAGAAGAAAAAGGGAGGACCTGTATCATCATCCAAAGCTGGCGTTGGCAGACACGATTATGGAGTTAGAATTTTTTGTTTCTGGAATGACCTGCAATAGGTTGGAGACTGACCCAAAATACATGAAAAAAGTGTGAAAGGGCCTTACAACATTATTTGCCTGTTGATGAAGAAGTTCCGTGATGGTCAAGTGTTGTCGTTCAGTCTCATGAACCCAGGCGGTAAGTCTCTCGCTGCTCTTGCTCGGCTTCGACTCAGTTGGCTTTGACAAGTCATTGACCGAGACGAATGAGCCGGCTATGGCGATGATGCTAGCAGTGAGTGTCAGTATAGACTATCAAGACAGTAGGAAGGCTATGAGCTCTTACACACCTTTGAGCATCTGTGTTGTTCGCTTCAGCCTTGTTGGCCATCGTAGTCAATAGTATCGATTATAAGGTAGTAGTTCGCTCTGCCTCCTCAGCCTCTATTACTCTCCAACTTTCCCATCTTCTCCTTCCTCTTTATATATATCCCTCACAAAAGGACCTCCAGCCGTGTATAGATGCGCAGCTTGGACCTCATCGCATTGCAGATGTCCATGCCCCGGAGCCACCTCCCAGCTCGTTCGTCATGATATCATCTCGGGGCCGAAGCCTTTCGGTGCGGCCTCACTCCTGCCGTCTCTGGTTGGCCGAGACTAGGCGAGCCCTGGGTGCCGGACCTGAGAATCGCGCCCATGCCTCTGGGGTATGACGGCGTCGCGAGGGAGAGAGAGGAAAGGGGGTTCCATCACATCTCATATTGGGGCGCATCACGCACGTCGTCACGGGCGAGGTCATGCTGGTGTAACGTATCTGAATGTGCCCTTCTTGCGGAGGGAGGGCTGGAGGTTTGAGGTGGCACAGGCGAGCGCGGCTGCACGGGGTAGATTTCCGGTGAGAGAGATTCGAAGGGGGTTGTGGTGATGGAGGCATGAGTAGAGCGGAGTTGAGAGATGAGACAACAAGAACGGCCAAGCCGGACAGAGCGAATCAGAGAGAGCAGAAGCTTCTCCAGACCAATCGCTCCTCAGAATTGGACTTCTGTGTGCTGTCTCACGCCATCGAATGCCGTGGCCTTGTCCGCGTCTTGTTTGCCCAGCTCGTCCACTGAATCTCGCGATAGCTTCATCGACACTGTGACGTGCGCCACACATATTGCCCTACAGACCGCCTTCCAGAACGACCAGGAGGGAGAACGCCACCGTCGGCTCTCCAGCCAAACACGGTGACGCCCCCCGTTATCTCGACTTCGACCCGAACCCATCCACGTGCCGGGGCACACTTGTCCTGTCTGTTCTGCTCGGCCGTGCGCAGCTCGCCGGTGTTGCACAACCTCCAGAGCGAAAGCCGTCGACTGACCACCTGCGAGCCTGTTGTTGGTATGTAATCTCCGCGCTATGCATGCCACGGCGCTGGGTGCGTATAGGTTCAAGGGCCTGAAGGTGTTGTTTGCCTGTTGCCCCCATCTCACATCTGTCACCGTGGAGTCGGTCCCCGAGACCTGCGTCGGGCATGCCTAGTAGATGCGTCTGCTTGGCTGACCCGGTGAGAGGATAGGCGCTTCAAGCTGGATCAGCTGAGAAGACATCACGCAAAGTGTCACGCTCCGAAACATGCTCCAAACGTAGGCCCGGGTTTTGTATCAACGATCTGTGTACCTTATTCATATGGCTAGACTAAGCTATGGTTATCGACGGACAAACTGGTTAACAAAGTGTATGCAAGCGCTCTCTCAAAAACTCCGACCCATGCAGATGCGAACCTAGGAAAAGTCGAAACGCTCAGGCAGGGCAATGGGCGCCACCAAAGTCCAGGTATACATGCCGTAGCAGACCCAGGCACTGACGATCTTGACCCAGCTTGCCGCATATGTACGGCCAACAGTCGCAAAGTCACCGTCCTTGGTCGACTCGTCAAAGTTCATGGTAAGCAGAGTAGCCACCCATGCCGTCGCCAAGAAGAAGATGATGTGGAACACGGAGTAGTTGTACTGGGTCCTGGATCGCTCGTCATCGCCAGCAGGGGAATCACCCGCCTCGCTGTCGTCATCATCCGAGAGGAGAGCATCGGCTGGCAGGCTGCCCTCCTCAACAGCTCGGCGCAAAGCCTCGGCTCGCATTTCACGGCGAGCAGTCGGCTGCTGCGTAACCAGATCATGCTCGTCGTCCTCTGGGAGTCGAATACCGTTCGAGTTGCCCAGGCCCAGGCTCTGGGTGGCGGCTCTGGTTGTGGTGTAAGCAATGGTGAGGAGGGTGACGACGGCACCAATGATGATCGAGGTTGTTCTTGTACCCTGGCCTCTAATGAGAGGGTTGCACTCGTTGTTGGGCTCCATAGACACAGCGGACATGGTCAGATAGGTGCAGTAGACAGCCACCATTGCTGCCTGCGCGAGTCCTGCCTTGGGGTTATACTCCTGGACAGTGGGGTTGACGGAAATGACAGAGATTCCCAGCCAGAGAAGGAGGTTGATAGTGATGACAGCTTGGTTCATGGAGCAGTTGTTCTTGGCGAAGAAGATGTATTGAACAATAGTCATGGCAAGCGAGCCGATGTACATGCTCAGGGTCGATCCGATCAGAACAAATCTCCAAAATCTCGAGTCGGTATCCTCGATCTGAGCGAGGCAGTACTCGGCCCAGTTGTGGGCGAGATCGACAAGCAGAATCAGGCCCAACAAGAGGAAGAGCATGGCGCAGCCGAATGAGATATAGTTGCCCCAGACCAGGAAGAAGCTGTCGGGAATGAGGAAGGAGAGGACAACAAAGGCGAGCCAAGCAATAATCTTGGGGCCCCAGTAACCATTCTGGATGGAGGCGCGAGGACTCCTGGATGTCGCAACACCAAAAAGCAGGCCGGCGAGAATGAGATGGAAGAGACCGAGAGCAAAGTTGATTCGATGAACGGCAAACCAGCCGTGACATGCCCCCGTCGGGCAATTGATTGTGACCCAGTCGAGGGTGAGTTTCTGAAGTTTTTTGATGGCCCACGGCGTGAGCATTATCCAGGCAAGGATCGAGTTGACAAGGAGGAGGAGCGCGTATGCGATACGGGTTGCGACACTATTGCCGCACTTGCCACAGGCACTGCAGACCATGGAGCAGGTCGCAGCACCGCAGCAGCTGGCCGCGAAGGACATGATCTAAAGGAGACAGATGTTAGCATCTAAAATTGATGGAGAGCAGAGTTGACGTACGGTGGTTACGCTCGGCACCGCGAGCAGTGGCAACGATAACAGAGCACCCATTGCGACGGCGCGACAAGGTTGACTGAGTTAAGTTTGAGTCTCCTAGGAAAGGGCGCGATCTCGAGACTTGCGCCCTGATGGGTAATCGGGTGTATCGTTTTGCGCAAGAGTTCAGTGTCGTGTTGTTCAGGCCGTTGAAGGTCTTGTGCCTAGCCTGGAGTCTGTTTGAAGATGGGGAGGAGATGGGATGATTGAGGCTGGGATTGGGCAAGCTAGTCCACGTGAGATTACGTCGTCAACCGCGGCCGGGCACCGAAAGCGGAAGTGGGATGCAGGCAGGCACTTTGCAGCTGTGGCTGGAGTTCGACGTGGCTGAGCACTCAGATGGCGGGACGTGGCTGTCCGTACAGTCGACAGTCTCGGAGATCCGGGGTTCTCCCACACTGCCGGTAAGGAGGTTCCAGGCCCAGTCACAAGGCCCACCTTCGGAATCCCGGACCCTCTCGGGACCCCCCTCCGCGTTCGGCCCGCGTGCGTGCTTACCCTGCGTCTTGCGTGCCCCTTGTTGGCTGTGAGTTATCAGCTTCCAGAGCCACGAGATAACGAACTCGGCTCCCTGACCCCCTTCTTCCATCCCTGGACTGTTACATCCTAGGATCGATCTTCTCCCGTTCCTTCGTAGCTACATACACGTGGTGCTGCATCATCTACTCTCTCTTCCTATTCCTATCTCCTAACTTATCTTTTTTTTCTTTTCCTATCTATCGTCTTGCCCCTCTCTTTCAATTGCTGGCTGTCTGTTTCGTCAGTGTGTCAGCATCGCTGTCACTACTAATGTTTTTAACTTTCCCGTCCTAGAAGCGTGTCCCCTCAACCTAGAGCACCAAGCTCACTCACTCCCTACAACTAACTACCTTCCTATCTTCTATACATTCCACATTGCCAAGATGCACCAGAATCAGCAGCAGCGGCTTCATCATGCTCGCATCATTGCGAGCGTCGCTGCTACCGTCATCTCTCTCGCCTGTGGCACAAATGTTCGTTCCTATCTTGATCATGAACTTTGAGATGTGGGAGGCGATAAGTTCCTGACAATGCATATAGTATGTCTACTCGGCCTGGGCTCCTCAATTCGCCGAGCGGCTGAAATTATCATCCACGGAGAGCAACCTTATCGGTCTTGCTGGTAACCTGGGCCAGTATACTATGGGAGTTCCAATTGGTATCTTCGTCGACCATCGCGGTCCCAGACCTGCTGTTCTCGGTGGCGCTGTTCTCCTAGCTGCCGGCTACTTTCCTCTTCACCAGGCCTACGACAGCGCTTCTGGCTCTGTTCCTCTCCTCTGCCTGTTCTCGTACCTGTCAGGCCTAGGTGGTTGCATGGCGTTTGCTGCTGCCGTCAAGACGTCTGCTCTCAACTGGCCCCAACATCGAGGTACCGCTACGGCTTTCCCACTCGCTGCGTTTGGCCTGAGCGCCTTCTTCTTCTCTCTTCTCGGCTCCGTATTCTTCCCCGGCGACCCAAGCGCTTTCCTGGAGCTTCTCGCTTGGGGAACATGCGGCATGACTCTCGGCGGCTTCTTCTTCCTCAAGGTCCATCACCAGTCCAGCTATGAGGCCGTACCCGACTCAGAAGACCACCACGGTCGACAATCGACTTCTTCCCGCCACTCTCGCCAGGGCTCTTCGGACGAGCCCAAGGTCTACCGCTCTTCTCGGGCGGTTGCTGAACCCGGTATGTTCACTAATTCTAGTAGTAGTAGTAGCAGTAGCACTCGCACAAGCACAAGCTCCCCTGTGCCCGCCCTGGCATCTTCATCCACCCCCGCCCCGGATCTGACGGCCTCTCCTGGAATTCCATTCGAGCCTGAAAGTGGCCGTGTGGTCCCCGTCGAGAACCCCGACGACCTCGAGGCCGGCGAGACGTCCCCCCTAACGTCCCGCCCCTCATCGCGAACCGGCGAAGCCCTTCTTGGAACCAATCACATTAATAACGATCGATCTCACCGTGTAGACATCCGAGGTCTGGCCCTCATGCGCAGTCTCGGCTTCTGGCAGCTCTTTACCATCATGGGAATACTAGCTGGCGTGGGTCTCATGACCATCAAGTATGGCACCCCCGTCCCTCCACTTCGGGAATGAGCTCGGCTGACCTCTTTCAAGCAACATTGGCAACGACGCCAAGGCTCTTTGGAAACACTTTGACAAGAAGGTTACCGACGAGTTCCTCATCCACCGCCAGCAAATGCATGTGTCGACCCTTTCCATCTGCAGCTTCCTTGGTAGACTACTCAGCGGTGAGTCCGACCCCGACACATCCCGTATTTTCATTGTCTCACAGTTCTTCTAGGTGTTGGCTCCGACTTCTTAGTCAACCGACTTCACGCCAGCAGGCTCTGGTGTCTTGCCGTCGCTTGTGTCGTCTTCTTCCTCGCCCAAGTCTGTGCCTTGCTCATCGTGAACCCCAACCTGCTCGGCCTAGTCTCGGGTTTGTCCGGTCTCGCCTATGGCTTCCTGTTTGGCGTTTCCCCTTCGATCGTGGCCGAAACCTTTGGCATCCGCGGGCTGAGCCAGAACTGGGGCTTCTTGACCATGGCTCCGGTTATCTCGTCCAACATCTTCAACATTTTCTACGGTAAAGTCTACGATTCACACAGCATTGTTCAACCCAACGGTGAGAGGGTATGCTTGGAAGGTCTTGACTGCTATCGTTCGGCATATTGGGTTACTCTATTTGCTTGTATTGCCGGAAGTGGCATCACTCTTTGGGGCATCCGCCATCAGCATGCCAAGCTCCTCAAGGAGCATGACAAGGGCGAAGAGGAGGACTAGCCATGTGCCGGGCATCCATGCAAAGGCTTGACAATTCTATTGGATCAGGTTGTGGCCAGTCAGTTTGGTAGTGATCTACGGCGTTGGATGAAGTTTGCTTGGTGTTGATTCATGGATATTTTAACATTAACATGATGGAACGGTCTGGCGCATGGGGAAACAAGGAATGCATCGCGGAAAAATCTAGTTATTAGATTATATGCCAAAGGATATCCGTCATCCACAACCCACGAAACCCTCAGTTCCATATTCAAGGCCCTTATCCCAGCCGCCGGACCGCCATGTCCACATTGCCTTGTGACATTATAATCCGCCATCATGCATGCCAGTGCAAGGAAAAACAGGGACGACGAAAACAGACCCAGCCAAAGCAAAATGTGAAAAAAGTGTTGAACTGAGGAGAAGAGTGAAAAGCCCAGTGAAGCCAGGCTCCTCATTCTTTGTCTTTATCATGCCGTCTACCTGTGGAACGCCGAAATAATGCTCAAATCGTCAACTGACAACGCGAGGCACGCAACTCTAGGTGCATTCCTCCTTCGCCCGATGTCAAAAGGACGTTGACTCCAGAACCATGCAAAACAGAAAAAGTGGTATTATCGGGCGGGCCCGCGCTGAAAACAAAAGAAGAAAGACAACCGACTGGGATGATGGGAAACAAGTATATGGTTCGGGGAAATGATCGTGTCCTGCCATGGAAGTGAGGTGGTGACAGCCTGCATTACATCCTCTGGTGATATACACAAAAGTGTGGGCGAAAAACAACGTGCTACCGAGCACTGCCGTAGGCGATTATTCTTTTCGAAGCAAGCCTGATCATCGAGGCGTCTTGCCCTCCTTTCGATCTGGATTCGAGTTGCTTTCGAATATGGCGCCAAGCCCGCTGAGTGAAAAGGGGTCGTTTGTCGAATGTAGCACCACCAGCCAAGCCGCCACAATATTCACCAAATAGTGAAGCATATAGGCGTGGGAGACGCCATACATGGCGGCATAAAGAGCCGTAGCGAAAAGGAGTAGGCTAGTAACATAGCCAAATCCCCTGCTGACTTGAGGAACCATCTTCCCTGTCGTTAGGTTCTCCACGAGAAGAATAAACGGCATGATGGAAAGAACATTATGGTGCGAAGAGAAGGGCGTGAGCCAATGAACTGCCAAGTTTCGAATCCAGACCGCCAGGATAGGGAGATTAATAGGGAGGATCCAGAGCATTAGGAGGAGAACAGAATGGGCGTAGTGGTAGTAGTTCGAGTTTGCATCCGAAGGGGCAGTGTTGTTGATACGAAGCGCTCGGATAACGGTAAAGAGCTGCACCAAGCATGCCACGAGGTAAGCAAACTGATAAGGGATAAAGGTCGACACCAGGAACAGGAGAATCGCTGTCGTGATCATACGCCGCTTAGGGGTTGATGGCACAAACGCAGGAGATCTCGCAAGCCCCTGATCATCGGACGCTCCGGCCAGAGACAGCAGATTAAGCAACGCATAGAAGAGACCGAGAATCTGGGTCAGGAGCTTGGTCATGTAGTGAAGAACAGTGCAAACGCCGATGCAGACAACACCAATGAGAGGGACGAGAAACCAAAAGAATGGGTCGTCCGTTCCGACCAAGATGTCATGTCGATGAAAGTCGACGCTCGAGGGGGTCACATGCGCCTGCTCGAGATATTTGCCAAGTCCAGAAAATGAAACTCCTTCAAGCGACATGGAGAGAAGTGTCAATGACAGCAGCAACAGCGGAATTGACTGGCGGAGACACAAATCCAAGCTCTCTGAGAAAGAGATGAAGACACCGGAGCTGTCGTAGACACGGAACTGCTTGCGTAGAACAAGAGTAACAGTCAACAGGGGGAATGCAGCAAAAACAGTGCGATACCTCATGTAGAGCTTGCCCAAGCTGCCCCAGATATCCGGCTTGATCTCCAAATGGACACTCGACTCGCAAGAGGGGTCGGCCCATAGCTGGAACGTGAGACCATTCTCGGGCCTCTGCTTCAGAGGAGGCGGCAGATAGGGGGCAACGCCATGAAGGCTAACGTCAGCGGACTGCGCATTGACAAAGTACTTTGACTCGTACGGCCGGTCGAGATACTGGCGAACCAAGGGACTGAAGAGAGCCTTTTCAACCTTGCAGCTTGGGCTTGTGATTTCCAGCTTGTAAGCGAGCAGAGCCGATTGCAGCGAGGGAATGGTGACCTCGACTGCCATGGGACGGTTTGGTGGAAGGTCGATTGATGCTCCAGACAGGATCAGCCCGCCAAGACCAATGTCCTGCTTCTTGGAAAATGCAGACTGATCGCTAAACTCGGCGATCAGGAAGCCGTGAGTGTTGGAACTGGCCTTTTCTATAACTGCCACAAATTGATGTTCCGAGAGCAAGTCGAGGTCGTACTGAAGGTATGAAAAGGGAGCAATCTCTCTCTCGCGGTCAAGATAGAAGGGGAACTTTGTCGATGGAGTAGAGGCTGGAAGCAGAATTCGGTCTGAGGCCGCGTTCTTACAAGCAAGCCTAGTCGAGCCACTGTCGCCGCTGGAAAGGTCGATTTGGAAGGGGTAGAGTGAGTTGGCTTGTCCGGACTGAAAAGGATACACACTGCAAAACAGAACCTCGAGCTTTCCATTTTCACCAGCCTCATCCAAGGGAGCATCCGTCAGAAGCGTGAAACGCTTCGACTCTGGCGAGCCCTGCGGTGGGACGGGGATCAAGTGTGCTCTTGGCTTTGACTGCTTCCCAATCTTGTTGAGAACGAGCCGCTCTCCGGCTGGAAGAATCGAGTTGAAATCGTCACCGAGTGTGAGAAGTGTAGTCGCCTCCTTAAAAGGTAGATCCTTATCCATGGTCGATTCCATTCCTGTAAGGAAGCGTTTCTTGAAAGTTCTCATCCGATCAGCCCTTGGCCTAGTTTGTGAGCCACGATGGACGTCAACAATGTCGAAAAGTGTCCGCGCAATGACTTTTCGGAACTGGTCGCACCAAAGGATGGCTTGGTGGTCCATACTTGTCCAGACGGTCGGGATGCCCGTAGTGAAGACGGTAAAGCCATGTGTCGGAGGGACAAGAGACTCGAGACTCGCATAATCTGATGGCACAACCGTATCCAAGCCGCCGCCTGCGATCGAAACCAGAGTAACGTGCCACAAGGGATTGTTGTTGGCCCATTTTTGCGAGTATGCTCGACGCCAATAAGCGTTGATTTCGTCATAAATCTGAACGATCTGTCCATCGAATGTGACCGGGGGACGTGAGTGCGGTGCCGACATCGTAATAACCGTATTGATAGAGTTTGCCTGATAATTGGACTGAACAAGCATGGCTCTCGCTACCACGCCGCCCATTGAATGTCCAAGAATGATTACTGAAGTTGGGTCGGGAAGATGATCCTCTCGAGAGACGCGTTGGGGATCGGAGTAGAGAGAAAGGATGTAGCGCACGGCCTCGTTGAGATATTCGGCTTGATCGAGCAGCGTTTGGCCGTGAAATGCGGTTATATCTTCGTTGAAATCCACCGTAAAGAAATCCAGGCTCCGGATGCCAGCATCGAGAGTGGCTTGGTCATGTTCGAGGTTATGATGAAAATAGTTTGCTGCTTCAGCAGCAATCGGACGAACCTGCTTGTAACTTCCAGCATTGCCAGGAATGAAAAGCACAGGGATACCTCGCAACTAAACACATGAGAATTAGCGGTTGACGTCGGAAGTCGTCCATAACTGTCGACCGCATGCTGAAAGCAGAGGGGTTGCATGGGACATACCTTGTCCGGCTGCTCGATCCCTTGCTCTCGATAGAGATACAACGAGTATTTTGTTGCGAAGCGCGTGTGCTCAGTGTCGAACTCGGTGAAGCGCACGTACGACGGGCGCATATAGGACATTCGACATCCCTTCGGATCGAGTTGGCGAGTCACGAGAGACCTCAGGATACCGATAAGGAGCGCGATGCCCAGGGCCGAAGTGAGCAAGACAACGGGGGAGAATCGCGAGGAACGGCGTGTGCGACGACTCGGAGAGGGAGACTGATTTGGCGTCCTGGCAAGAGCCATGTCGGGAGTTGAAGGAGCGGCGAGTGAGGTGGGTTTTAGGGTCGTCGTTGGTTGAGGCTCTTCGCGAGCATGGCCGTTCTGCCCATTGCGGCCGTTCGAGGGCTTCCAATTCAGGCTATCGGGTCGCCGGCTCCGTGTAGGTGAGGAACGCGTCTTTGAGCCAGAATCAGGGTCGGGGATGTCGGACTCGAGGGAGGATTCGTCACCGTCATCGGCCGACCCAGACGAGCGCCTCTTCATGGAGAAGGCGCGTTAAGACTCGCCGCGAGCCTCTGACCAAGTATAAAGAGGATGAAGGTATATCGACCAGTGTCGGAGGAGGTTCGCAAAGATCTGACGGTCGAGTCGCAAAGTCGGCAGAAGCGAGGTCAGATCAAGGACGAGGTCGAGGTCAAGGTCAAAGCCAAGATTGAGATCGAGAAGGCTTGGAAGGGTTAGCCAGGCTGGCACAGCTCGGAGAAGCACCCACCAGGGCCAACGACAACAGGGGTCCGACGGGGGCTGTTAAAGGCGCAATTGAGCACGTCTGAGTGGAAGCCCGAGAGAGGCCTGAGTGCCCGGTCGCAAGCAGAAGCAACCGGGGTGGCCGGGAGTGAACTTTGCTGGCGATTTAACTCACCTCGGTACCATGCAGCAGCGTTTGCGTTTGCGGTCGGAGGCTCCTGGCAAGATCAAACGGCAGCGACAACGGTGACAACCACATTAGCACAACACCGCAGCGACTAACTATCCGTACAGCAACAAGCACAAAAAGAGATGGTCAAGAAGATGGCCGCAACGCTTGGGCAAGGCGATACATGCCGATTCCCCGGTCCTTTCTGGAGCCAGTGAATGTGGGTGGGAAATTGGATGTTGATGGCTTCTCTGTCAGCCGAGTCGGAGCCACTTAGCGTTGCGTATCCCCTTTTTTTTTTCCTTCTTCCCCCTGCGCGCACCCTTCCATCTGCTCCCGCGCCACACTCTAGAAGAACTGTCGCCCCGAAAGCCACCCAATTATTTAATCGCTTACCATTTTCTCATCTAGAGTTTCAAGGAAGTAGGTCAATCCCAACAAGCAGGGAATCCCTCATCACACATGGCTCGTGTTGTCGGCCTCGTTCCCGCTGCTGTTTAATTGCAGGCATGTCGGCCATTTAGAAGGATTGTTTCAATCTGCATTCAACAAGACCCAACCCATCTACTCCACTGGCAGAATCATCCAAGATGTTGGTCCAAGACCCC